CAGTGCCACTGTGTCTATAGCCCAGTCACATCTCTGTCTACGTTCCACAGGCTGAACCCATTTTCTTTCTTAAATTTGGGTTTTCTCCTGTATCCTTCTAACAGCTCATCCAAGCCAGGAGTAGTCTTCATTACTTCCCTTAGCTGGCATCCAAGTACCTGTCACAGTCAGCCCCCATGCTGGCCACTGCAGATGTCGTGTGTGTGTGTGTGTGTGTGTGTGTGTGTGTGTGTGTGTGTGTGTGAATGTACAGGGTCTGTCTCACTGGCTCCCTGTAGGAGTGATGTGGATTAGTCCCAGGAAGGTGAACACCAGGGTCCTGATGATTGGCAGGACCTCCCTGGGGAAGGGCATTAGAACGAAGAGCTAAAGGATGATTAGATGCTCATCAGGCAGACTGGGGGTGGGAGTGGGGGTGGGGGGCATGCTAGGCAGAGGGATGGGCATGCTTGAAGGCTCTGTGGTAAGGAGAAAACTGCCTAGAAAATAAGCAGGAAGGCAAAGGAGGAGGCAGGACCTGGTGCCAGGGGAGGCCAGGCTAGGCAACGCACATCAGAGACAGCCATGTTAGGTGGCACCTTGGTGTGTTCTTACACCCACTTCTACCAGAGTCTGTCTCGAACCCCTCTCCCCATAATTCATTTCCACCTGTAAGGACGTATTTATTTTCCACCCATCACTAACATGGGTTAAGATGGATTAAGATGATTTTCTGGATAAACTCCTCTCCTGGTCTCTCATTGTCAGGATGGAGTCAAACCCAGAGGCCTGTCTTGTTAGCGGCCTCAACCCCCCTCCCCTGCTCTTTGCTGCAACTTCTAGTACCCCTGAGGTGCTGGTGGATGTGCTCTGGAGCCCCAGGAGAAGTCTCGCTCATCCCTTGCTCTTCTGCGCACGTGCGTGCGCATGGTTCTTACTCTGGGAAGCCATCTCCCCCAGCTCAAGCCACCTGCTGCCCCTCTCAGATGCCCTTCTCAGCCACGCCTGCTCACACAGCCAGCCACACCCTGTCTCTCCTTCCTAGGCACACACCTTTGGCTAGACTGAGAATTATTTGGAGAGGGATCTGGCTGCCTTTGTCTTCATCCTTTTTGGTGCCACAGGGATAGCATGTATCAGCATTTCAAAGCTGCATTGTTGGATTGAGGGTCTAGTGATGAAGGAAATACACGGTTCAAATGAGCCATAAAGAGCCGGGCGGTGGTGGCGCACGCCTTTAATCCCAGCACTCAGGAGGCAGAGGCAGGTGGATCTCTGTGAGTTGGAGGCCAGCCTGGGCTACAGAGTGAGTTCCAGGAAAGGCGCAAAGCTACACAGAAAAACCCTGTCTCGAAAATACAAACCACCACCACCAACAAAACAACAACAACAAAATCCAACCAACCAACCAACCAAAGAGCCATAAAGAATGAGGTTCCATCCTGAGGCACTTTATGAAGGAGTCTTGCTTCCAGGACACCTCCCTGAACTCCCTGGATCTGGAACCAATCACATGCCTTAAGGTGGGCTCCACCCCTCCCCCTCCCCCTCCCCTGCCCACTAGGAGGGTAGGTAGATCACATTGGTTAGAGTCAGGCCTACATCTTCTCAAGCTTTAGTGAGTTCCAGGATAATCCGGGTTCCATAGCTTGCTAAACGGATGGCTGGGTGTCCCCCTGATAGCTTGATTCAGTGAGTGGGGCAGCACCTGAGAATTTGCCTCTGTAACAAGTTGCAAGGTGATACCAGCGGTGCTGGTCTGGGAACCACATGTTGAGAATCTATGTTCTAGCAGAAGAATTTGTTCTCCAAAGTATCACTCTCTCCAGTGGTGGTGGTGGTGGGGGAAACAGATGGTCTGCTTGGGTTTAGCTTTGTAGGTTTTAAGAGCCATTAGTATGAGATTAGTGTGGGTAGATACAGGCTTGCCTCAACGCCTGGCTCTTGTCTCTCCCACGAGTGCTTCTATGTCCATTTGTCAGCCACTCGACAAACATGTCTTGGAGAACGTGCATGGCGGCAGATGAGGTGGAGCAGTGGCTATCAGATAAGTCAATAGGGAACCACCCTGGAGGGAAGACTGCAGGTGTAGACAGGATCATAATTCAAGAAGTCCAGGGGAGGAGCAACCGCTTTGAAGGGCAGTAAGTTCCCATCCCTGGGGCCGCTGAGCAGGCTTCTAGAGTATTAGTGGGAATAATATTAGTGGGTGGTTAGTCTAAGTAACTCTTAATAAGAAAAAAAGCAATTGACCCTGCCATCTGTAAATGGCCCACTTGGGATCATGGGTGGATCTGCAGAGGGTCCGGGCTGCCTTGTGCAAATACCGAAAGCAGCTCTACTTTGAATGGTCATGCATTCCTCAACAACAGTGTGTTTGGTGACTAAGTGGATTCATGTCCAATGACCCTGTAATTTGTTGTTTATTGACCTCAGATCATTTAAAAGGTTAAATGGAAAAGCCACAAGCAGGCAGAGTGTACCTCAGGGGCCTCTTTATGTCCTGTTTCCTAAGTCACGTGGATCTGAGATGCAAGGCACCATTTTAGTTTGTTTTACAAGAGAGAGAGAGAGAGAGAGAGAGAGAGAGAGAGAGAGAGAGAGAGAGAGAGAGAGAATATGAACTTGCATATATAGTTATTAGGTCATCAAACACTCATCAAGGAAGTCCAACCAATTGCCAGGTTCCACAGTGTGGTACAAGGTTTCAGAGTTTCTCTTTGGGAGTCCAACCCTTAAGATGTGATGAACAAGACTGGTGTGTCTTCTCCATTACCTACCATTTATTGAACATCTATTGTGTTAGACTGGGTGAGATTCTTTACAAATACTATTTATGATATTTCAATTAACCTCCAAAGTAAGTATTATTATCTTCATTTCCAGAGAAAAGGCACAGAGAGATTATATGTCTTGTCCAATTTCACATAGCAAAACTTGCCCATTTGTTTTTTGGAAGTTGACTTAACTATAAAATTGAACCCTGATAAAGATAGCTCAAAAATTATAGCTCTATGAGTCTGAGTTCAGATGCAATATTATCAAGTTGAATCCAGCATTATATCAAATGAATAATACACTCTGACCAAATGGAGCATGTTCTAGGAATGCAAGAATAGTTCGATAATAGGAAATATTAGGAAACCAACCTAATTCACCATATCCACAAACCAAAGAAAAGGCATGTATTAGAGATGCTTAAAGGGCAGTCATCAAAACTCTCCTATAATAAGACTTTAAGACAGGAATATTAGGAACTGCTTAGATTTAATAAAGTTAAAAAGTAGCTATAACGTCATTCAAAACAGTGAAACCCTAGATCCAACTTCATGAAAATAGGAGAGGCCCAATTCTGCCATTTAAAGCTATCATCTTGGCTATTACTCAAAACGAATTTCTCTACTTAGAAGTAGTTCACTTAAATAAGGGAGAGGAGATGTTGCTATCTATTTTTGCTAAGCCCAGGAGAATCTGATAGGAAAAGACAAGCTGTGAGAAGTCCATTTGGCAGTACCTAACAGCTCTTCTCCAAAGAGTGAAGGTTACAGTCACTGAATTTGGACACCTGGAACTGGGATTTGAACCCAGGTCCAATGCTGAAGTCTTGCTCTTCCTCCCTATGAAACATTTATGCTCTCTGTTGCTAGTGATCTGGGAGAAGAGAGAGTCCCTCAGAATCAGCCCATCCCCCAGTGCTCCAGCAGAGTCCTCTCTGGCTTGGCCTGCTGTGAGGAAGAGGAAGATGAGCATTTTAGGGGGAGAGGAGGATGAACATTTTAGGGGGAGAGGAGGATGAGCATTTGGGAGGAAGAGGAGGATGAACATTTGGGAAGGAGAGGAGGATGAGCATCTGAGAGGGAGAGGAGGGTGAGCATTTGGGAGGAAGAGGAGGATGAGCATTTGGGAGGGAGAGGAGGATGAGCATTTGGGAGGAAGAGGAGGGTGAGCATCTGTGAAGGAGAGGAGGATGAACTTTTGAGGGGGAGAGGAGGATGAGCATTTGGGGGGGTCACAGTTTCACTGTGAAGCCTCTGAAGCCTCTGTTCTTGGCAACCCCATCCCTCAAGCCTGAGGTCTGGGCTGAGGGTGGGGAGGCATGGCTGGTGGTCTGGCCTGAGGTCACTTTTGCTCTCTAAATCCTGAGCATCCAGTGTACCGAGTCACCCCCTCTATTCTTGCCTCCAAGATGCCACATTAGTGTTACTAGTTGCCTTTTGTCTCATTTGAAGCAAGTCTGGGGTGCCAGAGGCTAATTGGAGCATTGAGGTCACAAGCTACTGCAGCCACCAGGACGCCTCAGTCTCATTGTGTCTGTGGTGAGAGTAGAGCACATTCTCCCCGCATAAATCATAGGGTGATACACGGAAAACTTGCCATGTTGTACAGAATGAACCGCAGGGTAGCAGATGGGGCACTGCAGAGGAATCCAGGAGACCTGGGTTCTGGTGGCTCTTCACTGATGCGTTCCATGTTCGTCACAATGCTGCCGGGCCTCATTTACCTCATTGGTGACATAAGATGTCGGACTGGATAGGCTTCTTGTGTTATCTGAATGCAAAGTTATGATGGTCATCCATGTGCTCAGTACCAATTGAAGTGCCTTGTTAAGGCTGGGAGTATGGCTCAGTGACGGAGCACTTGCCCAGCATACCCAGCGCCGTAACGAACAGTCAAACAGTGCTTGCCTAAGTACCCTGTGCTGTGTATGGTTAGTGAGGTAATACTGCTATCATTCCCATTTTGTCTCTAAAGCAACGGAGGCGCAGGGTAGTTCACTGACTTGCCCAGGGTCTCGCAGGCAGGATGGCAGAGCTCATACAACCCTTAATCTCTGTGCTCTTATACCTCTTTTGTATACATGAGCTGTGTGGTTACAGTGGTGTGGGTCTGAGGGTGGGGAGGTACTTTTAAGGGGAAGCCTGGCTCTGGTGTGGCTAGCTGGGGACTGTTGCCCTGAGGTGTAAGAGCGACCACACAAGTTGCCGACGTTGCCCATCATTTCTTCTCTTTTTCCTCTCCAGTCTGTGGCAAACGCTACAAGAATCGGCCGGGACTCAGCTACCACTATGCCCACACTCATCTGGCCAGCGAGGAGGGGGATGAAGCCCAAGACCAGGACGCCCGGTCCCCACCCAACCACAGGAATGAGAACCACAGACGTGAGTCCCTGCTTGTAAGGTCGGGGAGCGAGGGCTGGGGCAGGGAGTGTGAGGAACGATCTTTTTCTTTCCACTCTGGTATCTTCTGGCAGTAACAACTGATGGGGTTTGGTGTTCTGCAGTAAGTTGAGCCCTAAGCCCAGCCAACCACCACACCTATGGCCGAGCTGAGCACCCAGCTAAGAATAAGCAGGTCAGAGAAGAGAGAGAGATGGCTCAGTGGTTAAGAGCACTGACTGATGTTCCAGAAGTCCTGGGTTCAGTTCCCAGGCTGTCTGGTATCCAATCATGCCAGGATAAAAAAATTAAAAAAAAAAGAAGAATAAAAGAATAAGAATAAGCAGGTCAGAATGCATGTGATCAGCCTTGTCTCCAGACAGAGGCAGGGTGTAAGTGTCCAGCAGAAGGAGAGTGTCCTCACCTGGCCACCATCACAGGCCAGACCTGTCCATCTTTTCTCTTGGCGTCAGAAGGGCCGCTCACAGCTGTGGGGAGTGACTGATGTTTGCTGGTTGACTGCTGTGGTTTCCCTGGATGGGTCACTACTTAGGGTATCCATCCTGCCATCTGGATGGATACATCACTTGGGATGGCAGTTGGCTCCGAAGACTGGAAGTGATTCTGCAGATTTGTGTGTCTGGTCTTTCTCTCCTTCAACTTGCAGCTATGAATTAGGAATCAAAAGGGGGCGAGGCATTCACCACTCGACTGGCTCTCTCCCATCATCCCTTATGGTTTCTGGGATGACAAAAACCCCCAAACAGGATGTGGACATGGAATCTGTTGAGCTTGCTTCAAGGTCTGGGTCATACTGAGATCACTAGAGGGAGGGGTGCTTGTGGACATATGATGTGGGTTTTTGCTTTGTTTATACAATTTGTTGGTATATATTTTTAAAAACCTTTTTCATCTGGATTCAGTTTATTATTTCATGTGTGTGAACATTTTGTCTGCATGTATGTATGTTCACCACATGCATGTGCAGTGCCTGCTGAGGTCAGAAAACTGCGTCGGATCCCTGGGCCTGAAGCGACAGGTGGTTGTAAGCTGCCATATGAGCGCTGGGAACTGAACCTGGGTCCTGTGGAAGGGCAGCAAGTGCTCTCAACCACTGAGCTAACTCCCCAGCCCTGGTATATATTCTTAAAGCAAACAAAGAATCCGACTTTTTAAAAGTCCCTGGATTCTAAATTTAAAGGTGACTGACTGCTGTATGGCTGAGCATCTCAGCTTATCTGACCGATGCCAGCTGGGCACTTCCACCAAATATCTGAAATCATGAACACACCCCCAGCCAACACCTGTGTTTAGATTTGTGTGTGGTTCTTCCTGGCCTGAACCCCAGGTTCACCGGTCATGCTGCCTTCTCTATTAGTGTGCTGTGGCTGACACAACAAAATACCTCGGGCCAGGAGTCTTAAACTACAGCAATTAGTTTCTCATGGCTCTGGGGGCCTGGGAAGGCTTCCGGATACCCCTCACTTTGGCTTGCAGATGGCTGTCCTCTGTCAGCTCTGTCCTTTTCTCTCTGGGCACACAGTCTAGGGTCTCGTTTTGTGTCCACATGACCTCTTCTTATGAGGTCACCAGGCAGACTGGATCAGGACCCACCCTAATAGCTGCATTTTGTGTGTGTGTGTGTGTGTGTGTGTGTGTGTGTCTGTCTGTCTGTCACACTTGCATGTACTCTCAGTTGGTTTTCACCTTACATTTGAGAGCCAGTCTCTCACTGAACATGAAATTCACTGATTTGGCAAGACTGGCTGGGGAGACCTCCAGAGGTCACCTGTCTCTGCCTCCTCAGCTCTGGGATTGTAGACGTGTGTAGTTATTTCCATCTTTTTGCATGAGTTCTGGGGGCAGGGGTCTAAATGCAGGTCCTCATGTCTTCATGACAACCACTTTACCAGTTGAGCTGTGTCCCCAGCTCCAATGGCTTCCTTTAACAAACTTTGCCCTTTTCTTCTTCTTCTTCTTCTTCTTCTTCTTCTTCTTCTTCTTCTTCTTCTTCTTCTTCTTCTTCTTCTTCTTCTTCTTCTTCTTCTTCTCTTTTCTCCTCCTCCTCCTCCTCCTCCTCCTTTGTCTCCTCCTCCTCCTCCTTTTCTCCTCCTCCTTCTTTTCTCCTTCTCTGGATTTATTTTCACTTTAAATCAAGTATATAGGTGTGTCTGTGTATGTGCACATTGAGTGCAGTGCCTGTAGAGGCCAGAAGAGGGCACCAGATCCCTGAAGCTGGAGTTACAGGTGGTTGTGAGCCACCCCATGTAAGGTCTGGAAACTGAGCAAGAACAACGAGCCATCTCTTCAGCACTTTGATTACTTCTTTATCTCTATCTTCAATAGAGCCAAACGCCAAAGCACTAGAGGTTAACTTTCAATATAGGAATCTGGAGTTGGGGGAATGCATCCTGTGACATTAATTTGTTTCCAACTTTGAGGGTTCAAGCTTTTAATGTGACAGACCCTTGTTTTCTCACCTCCTATTGCCATCTGGGCAGAATCTGGGAAGCAGGGCTAGAGGAGGAGGGTGGCTTCTCTCTTTCTGCACCAGATCCTGAGTATCTATGACACCCGGCCCTCTGTCTGCCCTTTGGGAGAGCTCTCCTTTTTTGTCAGGGAGGAAGATCTGTCTGTACTGAGGAGCCGACAATGCCATGCCCCTCCCTCTTCTCTTTCCCTTCTCTGGTCCGAGTGTCTGGGAAGTCACAAGGAGCTGTTGCTACTGACCAGGAAGAGGCTGGAGATGACCTTTGGTTTTAGATGTTGTCTGGGAAGCACAGATTAGTGATTCCTTCTCTCTCCTAAGTGTCTGTTAGCGTTCTTTCTCACTCCTCCGGTGCTAGCCTACCTCTTGTGTTTCCTCAATGCTTGGCCATTTGTTCCTGTGTACAGGCATCCTATTTTACAGTGTTCTGGTGGCTTTTCCTTTGTGTTGTGTTTTCCTTACCTCTCCTATAGTGTCCATAGTGAGTGGTGGTTTTGCACACATGTGTGTACATGTGCAAAGTCTTGGCAACCACGGTGGAAGGAGACAGTCTCTTCCCCAGCCATTCCTGAAGTCCCCTCCAAGTAGACTTCTGTGACCAGCACTGGCGGCATTCTTTGCTTTAGCTACGAGGACCTCAAATGTGAAATTATCAGCAGGCATGTGTCCTCCTTAGGTGTTGTCCCTGAGAGATCACATGGGCTTGCTGAGTAAAGAAGCTGTGCCTTTCCTTTTTCTACACAGAGGCATGTCCCATGCTTGTCCCCATCATCTGTGGGTTTGTGAGTGAGCAACATGCTCCAGTGCCTCCCCTTCATCTGTCCTTCCTTTCTTACTCTCCTGATGGGACACTGACTTCTTCACAAAGCACCATTTGACTGACCAGAAAGGAATAGCCACTTGTGGGCCAATCTAGGTCCTCCTCATACAAAGACAGTTCCAGAAACACCCCTATTTTTTTTTTCTTTTTTCTTTTGGTTTTTCGAGACAGGGTTTCTCTGTGTAGCTTTGCGCCTTTTCCTGGGACTCACTTGGTAGTCCAGGACTCACAGAGATCCGCCTGCCTCTGCCTCCCGAGTGCTGGGATTAAAGGTGTGCGCCACCACTGCCCGGCAACACCCCTATTTTTAATTGATTCTCTTTTTGTGGTGTCCTCTCACAACTCCGTCTCTGCAAACTCCATGGGCCCAGCCCGAATTTCACCCACAGGGAAGTGGGTACAGCAGACAAGCTCTTGGCGTCTGGAGAAGCCGTTTTCCCCTAGCCCCCGTTTCTCCAGACAAACCCAGTGGCAGCTGCTCGCCCTGGCTCCTGTGGGCCACACACACTACCGATTTGCTTGCTGCTCCGAAATGTGCGCTCTACTTCCTCCCACATGCCCCTGGTGAGCAGGCCCCCACCATTTTCCTGTGAGCACTAATTGCTGGCATCATTAATACCCAGTCATTAGCTGCTCTCACTGTTTGGGGCTTGGAGTGGGCTCCCATCCACACTGCCCCTAAATGCCACCGGGGCTGCGTGGTGAACTGAAAGCGACAGCTCAGCAGCATCCTGAGGGCTCAGTTCCGTGGTCCTCCCCCAGCCAGGCTTCCAGATCCAGGGAGGGAGGGAGGCAGGCGGGAGAGCTTAATCCGGGAGGCTAATCTGTGGCTCCCCCAGGAGAAAGTCTGGATGCGGGCGAGTGGAAATGCTGACATTCCCTTTAGTAGAGCTGCGGGGTGACCCAGGCTACTGTCATAGAAAAAGAGCCCCACATCTACAAGAGTTGGCAGGGCCCAGGCAGCTGGCTCACACCACCCGCAGCCACTGAGACCTTTTGAGTCTGGTGCCCCTGCTGTCCCTTGCTCCATCCATCGCCTTCAACTGGCGTCCTTAGCAGAGCCCATGGCTCAGCCCCATACCTGCCACTTTTTAACCGACAGGGTGGAGTGGCCAGCTGGAGTCAGCACTGACCTTCCCGTCCCCCGTCCCTCGCTGCCCTGAGTGGCCAGCTCAGCACTCGACTACCACCCTGCTGTCCTCCCGTCCCTCCCAGGGGATGCATTCCTGCCTTTGTTCCTCTCCCACTCTCTCATTTTCTCCCGAGTGTTCATTTCTGTGTTTCTTCCCTATAGGTTTGCCTCCCTTGCTCTGTGTTTGAGGCTCTCTACCTCAACGACAGATGAGTGGCTAGAATGCTTGGCGCTTAGACCTCCCTTCTGGGGAGAGATGACCTTACTGAGGGGGTCTTTCTCCGCTGGGCTGCTGTCCTTCTCCCCAGATGAGACTGGGTCTTCTTTTTCCCTCAGATTCTCTGACCGCCTTCATCTCTGTATAGTTATGCCTGCATATAGCTGTGGGTATACATGAATACAAGGAGGGGTGGTTTGATCAGGACTCTGAGTGCAAGTGGCATTCAGTTGCTCTCTATTGTGACTCTTTTAGATTGGTTAGCAAGATTGACATTCAGAATCTCAACGACCCAGACCCACAATTTCAAAAATCTTTTTAAGTTCCTTTTGCTCTCTCTGCACAA